TTCTGGTTATTATAAAACGGCCAAGGGAGGGCGCCATGGCACACCTCTGAGTAACCCAGGACACTCTCTCCTGTTCGGAAAATGCAAACCATCCATATGGCAGGGTCACAATTATAAAGCTTGATCCTGTCACGGGAATGGTTTCAAATCTGACCAAGCTCATGGCACACATGGGGAAGCAATTGTGAAACCCCTTCGTTCTCTGGCTCTGGACACGCTGTACTGCGACAGTGGTTTGCAGGTGACAGAAAACGTAGCTGTGTCTACTGGGAAAGACGGGGGAGATTTCTTCCCATGGAGTTCTTTATAAAGCAAGAATGCGTGAAACTGTCAGTAATATTGTAGTCTATAAAAGGAAATTGCTCTTAGAGGCTAATATTGCACAATGACTACTTTTTTTGCTTATTTGGAAAAGATCTTTATCGCTTGTGAGTATTAAGAAGTCAACATATAATTGCCACCCTAAACATTGTGTTCTGGAATGCCTGATTTATTGAAATCAGTGTGAAACCTTTTTTTTTTTTTTCCCAGATGAAGTCTCGCTCTGTCGCCCAGGCTGGAGTACGGTGCGGCCATCTTAGCTCACTGCAATCTCTGCCTCCCGGGTTCACGCCATTCTCCTGCCTCAGCCTCCTGAGTAGCTGGGACTACAGGTGCTTGCCACCATGCCCGACTAATTTTTTGTATTTTTAGTAGAGAAGGGGTTTCACCGTGTTAGCCAGGATGGTCTTGATCTCCTGACCTCGTGATCCTTCCGCCTCGCCTCTCAAAGTGCTGGATTATAGTCATGAGCCACTGCACCCGGCCAGTGTGAAACCTATTTTAAATAAAAATCTAGTTCAAAAACCAAGGCCAGACATGGGCTCATGCCTGTAATCCCACACTCTGGGGAGGCTGAGGTGGAGATCACTTGAGGCCGGGAGTTCAAGACCAGCCTTGGCAATACAATCTTCACCAAAAAAAAAAAAAAAAAAAAAAGGCAGCAATTAGCCAGGCCTGCGGCACAGACCTGTCTGTCCCAGCTACTCTGGGACTGAGGCGGAGATCGTTTGACCCGGGAGGTCAAGGCTACATAAGCGGTGCCGCACCACTGCACTCCCAGCCCTTCGTGTGAGACTGTGTCTCCAAAAAAAAAGAAGTCTGGAAATATTGAAAAGGCATAAATTTACACCCTGGAAGTTGGACACATAAATCATCTGCAGCCCATTATGGTGGACACAGGTGCAGGCAGATGCTGGAACGTGCTTTAGTGCACACCGGGCACTGCAGTTTTGCACACCTATTGAACTAAGAATTCCTAGTGAGGGACAGCGCATAAACATGTCATAACAGCTGGCCGGGCGCGGTGCTCAAGCCTGTAACCCAGCACTTTGGGAGGCCGAGACGGGTGATCACGAGGTCAGGAGATCGAGACCATCTGGCTACATGGTGAAACCCCGTCTCTACTAAAAATACAAAAAAAAACTAGCGGCATGGGGTTAGCACCTTAGTCCCAGCTACTCGGGGAGGCTAAGCAGGAGAATGTGCAACCCAGAGGTGGAGCTTGCAGTGAGCTGAGATCCAGCCCCTGCACTCCAGCCTGGGGTGACACAGCGAGACTCCGTCTCAAAAAAAAACAAAAAACAAAAAAACAAAAAAACATGTCATAACAATAAGTATTTATTATGGACAGTTGTCTGTTTTCAGACATTGTGCTACCCCAAACCACATTAAGTGAAAGACATGATCATTTAGTTTAACCCTGTTTTAAAAGGGTTACACTGCTCTGTAAGTATTTCTGTGGAAATCTTTCCTAGTTGGTCCATTGTTCTGATGATTAAACATCTGGTTGCCACTAGAAACAGAATAAAGCCGACAGTGCACTAGAGATACTCATGACCATATTTCATCATTTTGGATTCAATGACATTAAGGAATAAGTAAAAATAATATATAAATGGTTATTATCATAAGGACGAGGAGGGGATTCTTGTGGAATAAATTGGCTCCAGGGCCTTCTGTCGACTTCGCCTCCTTGTGAGGAAATCGGTGTTGATGGCTTTACCCTGAGGATGATCTGAGAGACTTCACCAGGGACACGTGCCTGACAGATTGCTCTGAAAGCAGACTTAACCCAGCCAACGACAGCAGTGAGAAAAACACAGTCTCAACAAAGTTGCACCCTTTAGAAAGTGCTGGGCATATAAGTAGTGAGGCTTTCGTTATTCTAATACACATGTTGACTAAATGGCACTGTCTCAATTCAGATGACAAGACACCTCTTCCAGCAGTTGTAAATGGGCCGTGTATCTATCTCAAGCATACATTCAGTGAGAAATCCTGTAAGATTCCAAGATATTTCAAGAATCACATCCTTTTTACCCTTACTGAAGATAAAATGAAGCCTGACCTCCTGAGTCTTGGAAATGTGCATTCTTAGGAACTATTTAAAAATGAATCCTACGGCTGGGCATGGGGCCACACCTGCAATCCCAGAACTTTCGGAGGCCAAGCGGGACTTGAGGTCAGGAGTTCAAAGATCAGCCTGGCCAACATGTAAAACCCCGTCTCTACTAAAAATACAAAAATAGCCAGGCATGGTGGCGCGCCCTGTAGTCCCAGCTACTTGGGAGGCTGAGGCAGGAGAATTGCTTGAACCCAGGAGGCAGAGGTTGCAGTGAGCCGAGATCGCATCACTGCACTCCATTCGGGGGACAGACGGGGCTCAGCTCACAAAAAAAAAAAAAAAAGGAATCCTTCTAAGTAATTCATTCAGCTTAAGCCATGTTGGTGAACATTAAGACTTTGTCAAATCCTAAGGAACAAATTATCAAAATTACGACGAATATTTTGCCATAGAATAAAATAGAAATATTACCATACATTTGACTATTTGTTTGAAAATCTTATATGATTGTTGCTTCATTTTAAAAAACCAGATCTCACAAACCTGACCCAAGTTGTGCAAAAATAACGTGTCAGTTGCACAGCCCCTGGAGGCGAGTGAGCCCACATGCCTTGGCTGGTTATTTCTAGAGTCTGTTTGCTGTGGGCCTTTATCATGTTTCCAAAATAAGGAAGTCACCCAATGACATTTTAAAATATAACATTGATACCGTTTGACTAGAAAATAACTAAAATTGGGCAAAGAGGATATTTCACTCTCATTGGAGATGCAGCATTTATTCAGGTTAAAATTGTGATTCATCCAGGGGTGGTGGCTCAAGCCTATGATCCCAGCACTTGAGAGGGCCGAGGTGGGCAGATATCTCAAGGTCAGGAGGTCAAGGCAAGCCTGGCCAACGTGGTGACACCCTCTCTAGGCTAAATTACAAAAATTAGCTGGTGCATTGACACGCGCCTGTAATCCCCAGCTACTAGGAGGTGAGGCAGGAGAAGGCTTGAATCTGGAGGCAGAATTGTGATGAGCCAAGATGGTGCCACCGCACTCCCAGCCTGAGCAACAGAGTGAGATCCCATCTAAAAAAGAAAAAAGATTTGATTCTCCAAACTGTGGTCAGGAACTGCAGAGAACATGGAATCGCAGTGCTGTTAGGAAAGAATGGCATTGCGATAAGAGCAACAATTCCTGAGCCTTTCCCTGCAGAGTCCATTTTACGACAATGTACAAGACCCCAAAGTCTCTGGTTTCCGGCGGAGGGCACAGCTGATGTCATCCCTCCTGTGCTGGCAGTTTTCTAAGTGATTCAGATCCTCTAGAAGGAAAATGGACACTCTGAGATCTCTGCGGGAGGTCTTTTTTTGCAGTGGCAGTCTCTATGTGCAGCGCTGTGGAGAAGTCTCTGGGGGGGCAAGCCCCCAGGAATTACGCTCCAGGACTGGAGTTTGGACCCTATCTCCGCCTCCCCAATCCATACAACACGTGTTCAGCATCTGTGATGCCTGAATGAGGGGACATGCCTCCAAGTTGTCCTCAGAGATTCCGAATTGTTCGTGGATGTCGATGGCGGTGTCCATGGAGTGTCTGGGATTTTGGTATTGTGCGTCCAGCAGCTTGCACCTCCAAGCTGAGGAAGGGGTCCCTGCCTCCACCTGCCCGCATGTGGGGTCTCCCTAGAAGAAGCCTTTGGTAGGTCGTGGGAAGATTAAGGTGCTCGAATGCGACTGCGAGGAGGTGCAGAGCACCAGCTCTAGCAGCCTCCTGCCTCCAGGGAGCCCAGTCGAATCACTGCGGCGACCAACGCCCGGATCACTCGAGACTAGAAGCACCACCAGCTGTTCGACAGGAGTGCGCAGGGCCTTGCACATTGGCATATTGTGCGTCAGTTTCGGAATCAGCCTGCTGGAGTCGGTCCAGGACACCCACCAGGATTCCGTCTCGGGGAAAGGAACGCCCACGTGCTGATGAAGACACCCAGGATGCAAGGCTTGCGGTTGCTGGGAGGAGCTGAGGGATGACAGATACCCCAAGGATCTGGAGGTGGTCGTGTTTGTGATAGGGTCTCGCAGTGCTCCTGTGAGGCTGCTTCAGGGGACACAAAGGCTCTGTGACTTGAGGAGCTCAGGGATGACAGAGACTCAAAGGACCCTACAGAGTCTTCGGACTGATGACGGTGCGGAGCCAGAGGAGCCGGGGAGCCCGTGGGACACATGGAAGCTGGTGGGAGAAGCTTTCCCATGCCCCCCACGTGGCCGGTGGTTCTTCACAGATGTTCGTTTGTACACTGACCCCGAGCGGCTTGGCGTGGAACGTGCTGGGAGCTGCCCTCAACAAGGAGCTTCCTCAGGCACCTGCAGCAGACGGAGGCACAGGCTGCAGCTGGGAGCACTGGGCACCTGCGGCCCACGCCTCTCCAGGGCCCCCATGGCTGACTTCACAAAGCTCTGCCTACCCCTGCCCCAGGGCTTTAGTGACATCCTGGCTGGATCTCCCCTCCCACATCAGCCCCAGGCCCTGGGCTGCATCCTAGGTCCTGGTGGGAAGGAGGACACGGGAGAGAAGGGGAAAGAGACTCACTTTTTCGACAGGAAAGTGTAGAACTCAAGGTTCTCCAATTCTTTCAAAGACTTCTGCAAGCTGGAAAGCAGGAGATGGGTTATGGTGGTGAGGGAGGAAACTGGGACTTACAGGAGGCTGAGTGCATGTGCCCTTAGGGAGACCCCAGGATCGGGATTAGACCCTGGAGCCCCAGCATCCCTGTGGAAGGCCACAGGGCCCCAAGAGTGGAGCCAGGTGCCCGGGGGCCAGCACTGTGTCATTTACAAAGTGCTTCCCGACATGCCACCTCCTGGGAGAGAGGACGGGGCACTCTCAAAGAGGACTCAGCCATGTTAACAGCTGCCCACATAGACCTGCATCCCCTCCAGCATGTCCAGGTGGTCACTGGTCCCCTCCCCCACACAGTCCCCTCCTGGGCAACACCCGCTCCCTGGACCCCAAGGCTTCATCCCAGCAGGGAACGGGAGACATATCCCAGGTTCCAATCGCCTTACCAGGAGCTTCCCCACCAGGCCTCTGCAAATGACTTCCTAGGAGACTTGGTGCTTATTCCTAGGGACAGGTGAAGCTGTCATCTCTGGGGCTTCTGGACCCTCAGAGCCTTACCTTTCCAGGTGATGTATTTATTTCCGATCCTGAGCCATTCCCCCACTTCAGCTTTATCCTGAGAGACAAGACAGAGTGAGGGCGCAGGCCGGGTCTCAGTCTCCTGTCCCCACAGCTGCAGACCCACAGTGCTCGTGAATGACACACTTTCTCCACCCAGCTCACGGAGCCCTGTGTGCTTCTCTTTCCTTTCACTCGATTCTAAAGTGCATAATAACCTGTTCTGGTTTCCTTCTTCGAAAAGCACGGAGGGTTTTTTTTTTTTTTTTTTTTTTTTGAGACGGAGTTTCGCTCTGTCTCCCAGGCTGGAGTGCAGTGGCGCGATCTCGGCTCACTGCAAGCTCCGCCTCCCGGGTTCACGCCATCCTCCTGCCTCAGCCTCCCGAGTAGCTGGGACTACAGGCGCCGCCACCTCGCCCGGCTAATTTTTTTGTATTTTTAGTAGAGACAGGGTTTCATTGTGTTAGCCAGGATGGTCTCGATCTCCTGACCTCGTGATCCGCCCGTCTCGGCCTCCCAAAGTGCTGGGATTACAGGCTTGAGCCACCGCCCCCGGCCATGCACGGAGGGGTTTTCTATGTGAGGCCCGCCCTGGGCGTCCTCAGTGCCTGTTCCCCTGCTTGGGAACCACACACACTTGCGTCCGCAGGAGCCTCTGAGCTGGCAGGGGAGGATTCGGCTTCCTAGGAGGCCAGAGGCGAGTCCAGGCTCAGGTGGGGGCTCTCAGGGGCTCAGCACAGCCGCCAGAGCACCCCACACAGAGGCTGGGCCCCGAGGCACCTGCCCGGGAAGGCGGCTGATGAGCCCGGGCTCAGGGCCTGTCCTCCCACAGAGACCTCACCCCTCTCAGGACCGGGTCCTCGCCGCTGAGTCCCGGGGTTTGTTTTTGCTCTGACGCCTCCCGTGCACCCCACAGATGGTCTGGGAGCTGGGGATGGAAATCCTATGCCCACTCCAACCCCTGCCTGCCCTGCTGTCCCTAGAGGGATGATGAGACTTCCCATCACAGGAGCGCCTCTGCTTGATTTGGAAAAGTGGAAAAGAGAGCAGGAAAAATAGAATCATTCTCTGCTGGGTGTGGGCTGAGGGCTCCTTACATTCTCGCTGTTCTCCTCTCTGGGAGGCACTGAGGACGGCTCCCTGGGAAAGTAGGGGCTTAAGATGATGAGGAACACCAGGCTAAACCCAACGAAGAGGATGAGATGGATGATCTGGGGAACGGGGCTGGGGCACAGCTCTGTATCGATAACACTCAGAGGAAAGAGAATATCCATGTCAGCTGCACTGCTGTCCTCCAGCTACTGAGCCCTGGGCATCCCCTCTGGGAGTATTTATTGGGGCCCAGGCCCACATCACAGAGCTGGGGCCTCCCCCTCACAAAGGGCTCCTAAGGGTGGGTGGGCAGTGGCAGGAGGAGGCTAAATCCCAGCCCTGCCCACCACCACCCACCCCTGCAGTTCCCCTCACCCTCCTGGTCTTCCAGATCCCTCCTTCCCACTCCATCTGCTCAACCTGTCAGAGACAGACCTGGTCCGTTTTCTGTCCTCTCACCCTGGCATACAGATGGTATCTGGCTCCTTGGAGATCTCTGCTCAGGCTCCCTCAATTTCACATTTTTTGAGGATCTGGATTTGTCCCTGAAATTTCCGTTATTTCCAGGAATTATTGTTCTAGGGTCTCCTCTGACTGCTCACTGCAACCGCCAACTCCCAGGGTGTTTTTGAGACGGAGTCTCACTCTGTCGCCCAGGCTGGAGTGCAGTGGCCGGATCTCAGCTCACTGCAAGCTTCATCTCCCAGGTTCACACCATTCTCCTGCCTCAGCCTCCAGAGTGGCTGGGACTACAGGTGCCTGCCACCACGCCCGGCTAATTTTTTTGTATTTTTAGTAGAGACGGGGTTTCACCGTGTTAGCCAGGATGGTCTCCATCCTCTGACGTCGTGATCTGCCCGACTTGGCCTCCCAAAGTGCCAGGATTACAGGCGTGAGCCACCGCGTCTGGCCTTAAAAAAGTTTTTCTAGGGCTGGTCGGGCGCGGTGGCTCAAGCCTGTAATCCCAGCACTTTGGGAGGCCGAGACGGGCGGATCACGAGGTCAGGAGATCGAGACCATCCTGGCTAACACGGTGAAACCCCGTCTCTATTAAGAAATACAAAAAAAACTAGCCGGGCGAGGTGGCGGGCGCCTGTAGTCCCAGCTACTCGGGAGGCTGAGGCCGGAGAATGGCGTGAACCCGGGAGGCGGAGCTTGCAGTGAGCTGAGATCCGGCCACTGCACTCCAGCCTGGGTGACAGAGCGAGACTCCGTCTCAAAAAAAAAAAAAAAAAAAAAAAAGTTTTTCTAGGGCTTTGGCTAAATATATGAACATAAGTGATGCCCAATTCGGGTTTTGCCAAATAACACAACTCTTTTCAGAAACTACAAATTCCAGTGGCTCCGGCAGAATGAGTATCCACCTAGGGAATTAATATCAACCTAGGGAGTGAGTGTCAACCTAGAGAATGAGGATCAACATCAACCTAGGGAATAAGGATCAACCTAGGGAATGAGGATCAACCTAGGTCAGCTCTCCATAACAAGAACCCACAAATTTGAGAGTCCACTTCACATCTCAACTGTTAGATAACAGCAGGCAAGATGCATGTTCCTGACGGGCACAGGTTGTTTATATGGTGATTCTTTTAGTTGTTGGTGTTTTCTCCCTTTCTTCCCTCTCTCCCTCCCTCCTTTCCTCCCCTCCCCTCCACATAATAGAGGGCCCGAGTCTCCACAGGGTGCTCACCTCTAACTGCCTCCACCATTAGAAAGGAAGTCAGGGCCAGGGGTGGTGGCTCACGCCTGTAATCCCAGCATTTTGGAAAGCCAAGGAAGGAGGATCACGAGGTCAGGAGATCGAGACCATCCTGGCTAACACGGTGAAACCCCGTCTCTACTAAAAATACAAAAAATCAGCCGGGTGTGGTGGTGGGTGCCTGTAGTCCTAGTAACTGAGGAGGCTGAGGCAGGAGAATGGCATGAACCCGGGAGGTGGAGCTTGCAGTGAGCCGAGATCGCGCCACTGCACTCCAGCCTGGGCGACGACTCCGTCTCAAAAATAAATAAATAAATAAGTCAGAAAGCTAAGCAAGGCCTGGATCAGGAGAGCTCCTTATTCTGATGATGAGAAACCACCACAGGTCTCTGGGAAGGAAGTGGCATGGTCTGATTTACCTATTTTTAAAAATCCATGTAAAGATTATGGGAGAGCTGCTGGGCACAGTGGCTCACGCCTGTAATCCCAGCACTTTGGAAGGCCGAGGCGGGCGGATCACGAGGTCAGGAGATCGAAAACCATCTTGGCGAACACGGTGAAACCCCGTCTCTACTAAAAATACAAAAAAATTAGCCAGGCGTGGTGGCGGACGCCTGTAGTCCCAGCTTCTTGGGAGGCTGAGGCAGGAGAATCACGTGAACCTGGGAGGCGATGGAGCTTGCAGTGAGCGGAGATCGTGCCACTGCACTCCAGCCTGGGAGACAAAGCAAGACTCAGTCTCAAAAATAAAAAATAAAAAATAAAAAAAAGATTAGGGGGGGAGCAGGGGCAAGAGTGGAAGCAGAGATGCCAGGTAGGAAGCAGTTAGAAGAATCCAGATAGGAATGGTTGCGGGTTGCTTGGACTGGTGTGATAATACTGTAGACAGGTTCGGGATGTATTTTGAAGATGAAACCAGCTGGTCTTGCTCATGTGAACACTGAGAGAAACTGGGGCCGCAGAAACAGGTAAATTACGGGATAGGTGGGGAAGGGCGAGAAGGATGCTACTTTGAGATGGAAAACACGGGGGGAGGATCTGGATGTGAGTTGTGTGGTGGCTTCAGAAACCTTTTGACCTTAAATGTCAGATGGCATCAGACATACCAGTGGCATTAGAAGCTGCGGAAGCACGGGTACAATCTAGAAATCGGCCGAGAGTTTTGGCTAGAGATGTAATGTAGGAATCATCAATTTATAGGTGTCATTGGTGTATTTAAAACCATGGACCAAGGGCCAGGCGCCGCGGCTCACGCCTGGAATCCCAGCACTGTGGGAGGCCAAGGTGGGCAGATCACTTGAAGTCAGGAGTTCAAGACCAGTCTGGCCAACATGGTGAAACCCCATCTCTTCTGAAGATACAAAAATTAGCTGAGTGTGGTGGCGTGTGCCTATAGTCCCAGCTACTCAGGAGGCTGAGGCAGGAGAATCACTCGAACCCGGGAAGTGGAGGTTGCAGGGCATTGAGATCATGCCACTACACTCCAGCCTAGGCAACAGAGACTCCGTCTCAAAAAAAAAAAAAAAAATGTGACTGGGGACTCAAAAAGTGTGGAGAGCAGGAGCAGGGGAAGGGCTGGAAAACCACCTGTTGGGTACTGTGTTCACTATTTGAGTGACAGGTTCACTAGAAGCCCAAACCTCAGCACCACACAGTTTATCCACGTAACAAGCCTGCACATGTACCCACTGAATCTAACAATTTTTAAAAAGTGATGAGCCATGTTAATAGCAGATACCCTTGGTGTGATGTGATGAGAATGACATTTTCCCTGTGGGCTTCCTCCCCATGGCACAGGGGCCACCCCAGTCATGTTTACAGCCCCGGCCCCGGACAGTATTGAGTCCCTGAGCCCCAGCACGCGTGTGTACAGCTCCCGTCCCCCTGCCCACCTCACCCGGCCGGCCCTGCCTTATTTTGACGTCACAGCTGAGCACCGTGGTGGAGGTGGCCACGGTACAGCCTGTAAGTAGGGCTGTAAGCAGTCACAATGGGCTGTAAATAGCCCAGCCCATTACCACATGCTCCAAGCCAGCTGGCTACAGATCAGTTGTTTCTAGAACCAGAGTTTATACGATGAGAAAAATAGAAGGGACAGAACAGTGTGTTCCCAGAACACACCTGCAGCTCCCCCAGGCTGGGGCGGGGGTCTGGGGCCGGCTCTGCTGGCTCAGTCCCTTTGCATCTCCTCAAGTTCCTCTGTGGGACTGGGCGCTGTTTCCACCAAACCGTCTGCTCTCCAGTCCCACAGGGGGTTGCTGTCAGTCATCCTACGGCCTCTCCGCCTAGGCTTTGAAACTGATTCATTGCTCTTTTGCTGTATTTTTCTTTGTAGGTTTCAGAATTCTCTATTTATTTGTGATAATCTTTCGGAAGGATCCTGTGAGAGTGAAAATAAATGAAGTGCTCAATCAGCCAGTTTCACCGGAGGCTCCACTGATCCTTCCACCATGCTCGAATGCCTGCAGGAAATCTGAGGAATCATCTTTCCCACCCTAAGATCTTGTGTGATACCCTACCTTGTTTTAACCTGATTAACTCTCTCTTAGCTGAGAGATCCAGACAGACTCCATTTTGGTTTGTTCGCTTGCAGCCCCTTGTCCCCTCCTTAAGGACATAACTGGTGCAAGCTGACTCCAGGACACCCAGGAGTGCGCTTACTGATAAGATACTGCGGCAAGCTGTGCCAGCGGCTCCTGGGACGCGCTTGGTTAGTGGTACCCAAAGGCTCTGTGTTTATCACTTTGTGATAATTGAAGCCCCTGCACCTGGAACTGTTTATTTTCCTGTAACTGTTTCTGTAACCATTTATCTTTTAACTTTTTGCCTGTTCTGCTTCTGTAAGAAAAAAAAAAATTGCTCCAGCTGGATTCCCCTTCCCCTATTTAGACCAAAGTTATAAAAGAAATCTGCCCCTTCCTCGGGGCCAAGAGAATAAGACTCCTGAATTAGTCTCAGAGTGTGGTGTTATCTCTACAATCGCTGGGTTACGACACCTGGGACTCAGCACTGGCCTGAGGCCCCTGACAGCAAACGTGCAGGAAAATGCGGAGCTGCAAGATCAAAGTCAGATTCCCACTCTCCCTAAAGGCCGGGCTTCCCCTGGAACCCACGTCCCACTGCCTGGAAGGAGGGGTGAGGACCCAAGGGAGTGGCTCGGGGCATCAACTGGTCCAGGCAGGAGGCGGTTCCCCATCTCCCATCTTTCCAGCACCCAAGGGAGCCTCTCAGAGGACTCTCATTGCCTCCCCCCACCATCACAAAGCAGCCTGCTCCTGGCCTGTATCCAAACACCCTGGGGACGGCTGCCCTGGGCATGCTCCCTTGCCCTGATGGCCCTAGAACTCCATAGGAAAGGCTCGCCAGGGCCACCAGACAGTCCTGACCCCACATTGTCCAACACACAAGGCTTCACCCTGGAGAAATAGGAAAGGGAGTGAATCCACAGGCTCCCCTCACAAAGGAAAGCTACATGCTGTCACTTGGATGCTAGGTGGGCTC